TCATTGGAGCTTGAGCCGTTGGCCAATGCGAACAGCACCATCCACAACAAGCTACGAAAAAAAACGTCATCAAAGGGAGTGTATAAATGCTCTAACCATCACTTACTCTGCCAGAGTGAGTGAAAGTCTGACCAGATCATACCCATTGAAGCAAGTGCAGGTGTAACTACCAACAGTGTTGACACAGAGTTGCTGACAACTTCCGTGTTGGTGTATACACTCATCAACATCTAACTAAAGGCCATATGTGCACGCAAATAGAGCAAGCAAGAACTAAATTGGTATGGTACTACCATTACATGTGATCTTCCATCAGATCTAGCAGGATACCCACTACTACAGAACACTCATGAACCAGGGATGAGGTCAGTACAGTTTGATGCACAGCCTCCATTTGCCAAGAACACTGATTTGTTATCTGACAGTAACGTAGCATCAAAGTAAGATACAATTGATGTCCTTGTTAGTAACGTAGCTGGTGTCCACTGCACCTTATGTCACACACCATAGCATCTGATGCCAGCATATCATGGAGTAGAATCGCAGGATTGAAAACCATAGTCCAATTCCAGTGGACAGCCATAATAGTTTGTCTTCATCTCAGCACCACATCATACCTTCCAGGTATTACCTACCCGCTTAGACCTCACCAAATTCTTGCTCTAGTGAATGCACATGGGAACCTGTATTTAGAGACCAGCAGTGCAGTAAATGAAAGTGAGTCAAGTTTAAAAAACCAAGTTAATTGTAAAAAAAATTTTTTTCACTCATTTGCACATACCTCGGTATCGTTAGCCAAGTGTCGGCAGGCAGACGTTAGACATCCTGGATCCCATACCTGATGACCACATATAGTGCCCAACACGCACATTCACACAGGATCTACAACCTCCCCTCACTGGATTATAGAGCCTCAGAGTATCACTTCGAGATGACGTATCCACAGTTCCCATGCCTGCAGTTGTCATTCATGTGTCGGCACCTACAAAATAAAAAGTATAACTGTATCCAAAAACACATCAGCAAAAGCTCTAACCTTGAACGATAACTGCAGCACGTGCTGTGACATGTCCCAGAGTAAGACACAGAGCAGCCAGTCTTTGTCCTCGATCACATGAAACACCCCGCACGTATAGGACTGATATGAACATGAAATTCACTCCAAATGCGCCACTAGACCACCGAAATAATAGAACAATAGACACCGCAATAGCACTGGTACGAGTACAACCAAAAAGACGTAGAAAAACCAGAGTTTTAAATATGTATGAAAGCTAACACATTAAGAGAGAATTCAGTGATAACAGACTAACAGAGGCTCTGTATGCCCCAGTTGTCTTCACAAACCAGTCCATAGTTTCCTCGATACAAACCCTAGCAACTATTAGTCCTGGTAATTCATCTTGATGAAGTAATTCTCAGCGATGTATCATCTGATAACACTGAGTCTAAAATATTCCTTTCAAGACCCATCGGACATCTCCTCTTCGCATACGGCTAAAAAAATAAAAAATAAGTGGAAGAACAGCCATGTTTGTACATGCGAAACGTACGAGGATGACTAGCTGCTATACCTTCACATCAACCCCCCAGCATCTTCATGTGGTTTCAAAGTGTGGGACCCAACCCTCGCACCGGCAGCCACAGTCAATAGTGAATCTCAATGCCCAACACACAACGGTCAAAGCAAAGATCGATAGTTACTACTTCTCCAAATGCGCACCGAGGCAAATAGGAGGAAAATAGAATCTAAGACATGAAATGGACACACAGAGTTTAGGAAACACTCGAATTGAAGTCAACAACTTGTCAACTTACTTCCGTTGAGGAAGTCCAAGTTGTCTGCACACCACTGCCGCCTCCAGTCATCCCAGTAGTCATCACATACAAGTTGTTTTGCCCGTGTAGACTATTGGTTGAACAGATCCAGGTACCGTTCCCATCAGTGCACCCGGTTGATAGGTCAAGAGCACATTTGAAGGAAGAAAATACGCCATTCAAAACATTGCTGCAGCAAAGATCAGTACAGTAATGTTTCCAGGCAAAAGGAGTAGACATTGACTCAAGCATAGTTCTCCCATTACCAGTATAGCCAAGTGTGACACGTGCAAGAATAATTCATTCCGAAAGTCTATAGCAGTCAGCAGCTTGTGTTCATGTTCAGTTCCAGGTTGCCACTCAGCAACATCTTGTCCGCAGAAAAATAATGAGCCAAGTGATTTATGTATGAAAAGCATTACTGTCCAGTCCAATCCATATCACGTGTTACCCACTCTTACACGTACAGGTGAATGAAAAACGTCTTCAACATTGGCACAGTATGAAGGAGTGTAATGGAGTGTGGCAGTGTGAAGCTCACGGTAAATCACCCCATTCATCAAATCATCATAAAAGAATTGCTTTTGAAGACCAATTTCAAAAGTGGTTCAGAAATGGCGCACCCGAGGGATAGTAGCAATTGAATATCAGCAGAGGCGTTGTAACAGCACCCATAGCTTCACATGTTTTCTCGCTGGACCAATTAATCACCACAATCGTTGAAAGAATACCGATCGGACAGGGAGAAACAGGTTTGATCTGGGGCGTGTTTCGTAATCTGATGCATGCCATAGGATGTTGATGTGAACTACACTCACGTTTTACATAATGATCCCATTTCCCACGTTATCAGTGGTGCACTACAGGAGAAGAAAGCTAGCCATTATTGTTGGTCAAGTTGCATTCTCATCACAAGGAATGGTTGGTAAGACACTTCATCAATGTCATGACATGTATATCCATCACCAGTGTAGCCAGAGAAGCAGGTACAGCTCATTAGCGGCTGCATGTGTCATAACACTTGACATACTCATCAGCGAAACACTTCCGTTGAAACACTCGTTGCTATCTTGTTAACGAGGAATATACTATCAGTACGTACTGCTAGTGCTTTCTGGCTCCAGTATATAGCAAATATACACTTTTATGAACCACAAACAGTACTTACCTGAGCATGAAAATCCATCTCCTGAGTAACCAACATTACATTTACAATCATAGCCACCCTCTGTATCGCTGCAGGTAGCATTACTATCACACATATCTGTGTCTACATCACACTCATTGATATCTGGGTAAAGAGAAGGGTGATCATAGTTCTGGAGAAACACAACAATGCATCAGCCATACTGGTGCATCTAAATCCATTCCCAGAGAATCCAGTGTTACATTCACAGATGTAGCCACCAGCAGTATTGGAGCATGTGGCTTTAGAGGCACAAGGGTATCTTTGGCATTCATCTATGTCTAGAGAGCAAAATTTAATAACCTAAACAGGTGCAAATTTAAATGTTCACAAGAGCATACCAGTGCACATGTATCCCATCCCTTCATCTTGATATCCACTGAAGCATGAACACTGGTAGCTACCAACAGTGTTAGTACAAGTGCTATTCACAGAGCAGTTGTTTTGATTGTCTGAACACTCATTAATATCTAAAAAGGCGTAGCATACATAATTTTAGACCCACAAGAGAAAACATAACCTACCATCACAAAGGTTCCATTTCCTGAAAATCCAGTGTTGCACTGACAGTGAAGCTCCCATTATTGTTGGTACAAGTCGCATTCTCATCACAAGGATCAGCGAGACACTCATCAATGTCCTGACATGTATATCCATCACCAGTGTAGCCAGAGAAGCAGGTACACTCATAGCTGCCTGCTGTGTCATAACACTCTGCATTCTCATCACAAACACTTCCAGTTGAAACACTCATCGATATCTGTTAAGAGGAATATAATATTCGTACGTACTACTAGTTCTTTTGGCTCCAGTAGTTAAATAGAAATTTTATGAACCACAAACAATACTTACTTGAGCATGAGAATCCATCTCCTGAGTAACCAACATTACATTCACAGTCATAGCCACCCTCTGTATCGCTGCAGGTAGCATTACCATCACATGTATCTGTGTCTTCATCACACTCATTGATATCTGGGTAAAGAGAAGGGTGATCATAGTTCTGGGAGAAACACAACAGTGCATCAGCATACTGTGCATTAATCCACTCCCAGAGAATCCAGTGTTACATTCACAGATGTAGCACCAGCAGTATTGGAGCATGTGGCTTTAGAGTCACAAGGGTATCTTTCGAGCATTCATCTATTTCTAGAGAGCAAAATTTGATGACCTAGAAGGTCAAATTTAAATGTTCACAAAGAGTCATTACCAGTGCACATGTATCCCATCCTGTCATCTTGATATCCACTGAAAGCAGGAGCACTGGTAGCTACCAACTGTGTTAGTACACATGCTATTCACAGAGCAGTTGTTTTGATTGTCTGAACACTCATTAATGTCTAAAAAGGCGTAGCATATATAATTTAGACCCAAAAGAGAAACATAAATCTACCATCACAAAAGGTTCCATTTCCTGAAAATCCAGTGTTGCACTGACAGGAGAAGCTCCCATTATTGTTGGAACAAGGCGCATTCTCATCACAAGGATCAGCGAGACACTCATCAATGTCCTGACATGTATACCCATCACCAGTGTAGCCAGAGAAGCAGGTACACTCATAGCTGCCTGCTGTGTCATAACACTCTGCATTCTCATCACAAACACTTCCATTGAAACACTCATTGATATCTGTTAAGAGGAATAATAATATTCGTACGTACTACTAGTTCTTTCTGGCTCCAGTAGCTAAATAGAAATTTTATGAACCACAAACAATACTTACTTGAGCAAGAGAATCCGTCTCCTGAGTAACCAATATTACATTCACACTCATAGCCACCCTCTGTATCGCTGCAGGTAGCATTACCATCACATGTATCTGTGTCTTCATCACACTCATTGATATCTGGGTAAAGAGAAGGGTGATCATAGTTCTGGTGAAATACAACAGTGTATCAGTCATACTTGTGCAATTAAATCCACTCCCAGAGAATCCAGTGTTACATTCACAGATGTAGCTACCAGCAGTATTGGAGCATGTGGCATTAGAGTCACAAGGATCGTTCAAGCACTCATCAATTTCTAAAAAGAAAGATGAGAGAAGATTAAAAAAACACACAAATATTCCATTTACCAGTGCACACATATCCCATTCCTTTGTCTCGATATCCACTGAAACAGGAACACTGGTAGCTACCAACTGTGTTAGTGCACGTGCTGTTCTCTGAACACTGGTTCACTCCTTCCGAACACTCATCAATATCTATAGCCAATCATGTGAAGTTGCTGTTATAATTCTGGAGAAGAATGTTCATTACCCGAGCATTTAATGCTGACGTCCATGGAGTGGTTGCAGTGGTGAAGACCAATAGTCCGTCCCATTGCACAATGTAACAGAGACTGATCACTCTCAGAGCATTGTAGCTGATCTAGGAATATGGGACCTGATCCTTCCTCAAAACCTGACGTCAAGATCTCTGGGGCTGCAGATCCCTCCTCAAAACCTGAGAAGATCTCTGGGGCTGCAGGACCGGTAGCAATCAGATGCAAAAGAGGCACTACTGTTCAATATAAATCATAACTTATGCAGAAAATATACTTGAAATGAGACTAGACGCAATGTTTCTCAAACATCATATCCCTACAATATTGCTATATTTAGCATAATTATATATTGCTAGCTCGATGACTTACAAGTTCCGTTGAATCCTTCTAACATTTGACAGGCGACGGAAGCATCATTGGTGTCGAACTGATCACTGCACACAGTACCCCAGGCACCGTTTACACACACCTCCAGTCTTCCCTCGTCACCATTTGCACTCCCCACTAGCCTCACGTCACCAGTTGTGCAGTTTGAGGCCACCACATCAACTATAGTAGTGAATTGTTGCAATGATTGATAATCTATTGGGCCGCTGGTCTGAAAAGTACCTTGACAAACAACCCCGGCGGGATCGCAAGTTATTCCTTGGAGATTTTTCATGTGGTCACACTCGATTACTCCCTTCTCTGTTCCAGAACAGTTGACTAAGCTCATCAGACCTGGACTTATTCCCTCGCTAAAGTAATCAGGTGCACTAACATTAACAGAACCTGCAACATAAGGAAACATCACTCAACGCAGCCAAAATGGACATAGGCATACCATGTGGAGAAAATCCAAGTTGTGAGCAGACAACAGAGGCATCCTCATAGTCCCAGTATTCGTCGCACACTGCTCCGTATCTTCCTCCGATGCACACTTCAACTCTGCCCCTTGTAGACTAGCCTTTGTCATAGTAAGAGTCGTCATATTCATCACTATAGTCTCCGTTATAGAAGGCCACAGCATATCTCCAACTATGAGTCTAACATTTCCATCTTCACAAGTAGCTATTGGGAATGAACAGACTCAAAACTCAAGTCTTTAACGTAATTCTAAAAGAGTTGCCATACCTTCACATTGACTCCAGCATCTTCACCGTGGCTGCAGTCATGAGAGCCTACATCATTATCATTCAAGCACTCCAACAGTGAAGACTCAATCCCACTACACATCAGGTCATCCAGTAGAATGGAGCCATTACCCTGGCCAAACTCTCCATGACGAATGGGATGTGATTCTATGTTTTGATAGCAATATCTAATAGCATGAACACCCAATCAAAACACAGTAAACAAATCGTCTGATATCGGCAGATCTTATAGTTATTATACACAGACTGACTCTGACCTCCAGACAAGTATCCCAGTTGTCTACAGACGACTCTGGTCTCAAGTTCATCCCAAAAGTCATCACAGACTGTGCCATACTCCACATTGTAGCAAATCTCCACTCGACCTTCATTGGAGTCCGTGCCATTTGCCAACGAACAGCACCATCCACACAAGCTATGCAAATCAAACACTGTATGTAAAGGGACAGTATAAATCCCCAACCAATCACATACCGCTGCAGTGAGTGAAGTTGACCAGATCGTATCCATTGAAGCAAGTGCAGGTGTAACTACCAACAGTGTTGACACAGAGTTGCTGACAACCTCCGTTGTTATTAGTACACTCATCAACATCTAAAAGGTTCATTTTCAGGTTGAGGAAGGGCCACATCTTGAGGCACATTTTACTTACCATTACATGATCTCCATCACTGTCTAGCAGATACCCACTGTTACAGGAACACTCGTAACCAGGGATAAGGTCAGTACAGTTTTATCACAGCCTCCGTTTGCCAAAGAACACTGATTTGTATCTGCAGTACGTAACATCAAAGTGGTACAACGATGTAATATTAGTATGTTAGTATCGTGTTGGTGTATTCACTGCACATTAAGATCACACACCATAGCATCTGATGCCAGCATCTCTGGAGTGGTCACAAGATGAAAACCCTAGCTCCACTTCCATTGGACAGTCCAACAGTGTGTCTTCATCTCCAGCACACTCGATACCTTCCAGGTATATCATTCCACTGCCCTCACCAAGTTCCGCTTGAGGAATGCACGGGAACCTGTATATTAAAGACCAGCACGTGACATTTAATTGCAGTCAGTTACAAAACCAAGACAGATGTACACACCTGTCCATCATACACATACCTTGGCCATCGTAGCCAAGTTGTCTGCAGGCGACATTAGCATCCCTGGTCCCATATCTGACACCACAGATAGTGCCCCACACACCATTCACACAGATCTCCAACCTCCCTTCACTGGATAGAGCCTCAGAATCATCACTTCGAGATGCAATCCGCAGTTCTCCATGATTGCAGTTGTCATTCAATGTGTTGGCACCTTTACAAAACTTAAAGTAAAATTGTATCCAAACACATCAGCAAAAGCTCTAACCTTGACAGATAACTGCAGCACTGTGCTGTGAACATGTCCCAGAGTAAGACACAGAGCAGCTCAGTATCTCTGTCTCGATCCCAGAACACCCCACACTGTACAGGACTGCTGACCCTACATCATCTCCAAATGCACCACTAGACACCGCAATAGCACCTGGTACGAGGTACAACACAAAAGACGTTAGAAAAACCAGAGTTGTAAATATGTTATGAAGCTAACCATAACGAGAGAATCCAAGTTGATAACAGACTACAGAGGCATCTGTAATGCCCCAGTTGTCATCACAAACAGTTCCATAGTTTCCTCCGATACAAACCTCAACTCTACCCCTGGCTAATTCATCCTTGATGAAGTAATTCTCATCAATGTTTTCATTCTGATACACTGAGTCTAAAATATTTCCTTCAAGACTCAATCGGACGTCTCCTTCTTCACATACAGCTAAAATAAGTGGAACAGACCATTTTGTACACACGAAGTAAGAAGATGAACAGCTGCTATACCTTCACATCTAACCCCAGCATCTTCACTGTGGTCACAGTTGTGGGACCCAACCTCCTCACCGGCAGCACAGTCCAATAGTGAATTCTCATTGCCAGTACACATCAACTGGTCCAGCAAGATCGAATAGTTACTTCCTTCTCCAAATGCAGCACGGCCAATGGAAATAGAATCTAAGACATAAAAATGGACACACAGAGTTTAAGAACACTGCAATTGAAGTAACTTGTCAACTTACTTCCGGATGATGTAAGTCCAAGTTGTCTGCACACCACTGCCGCCTCCAGTTCATCCCAGTAGTCATCACATACCGTTCCGTAGACATTGTTGAAACAGACCAGTACCGTTCCCTCAGTGAACCCGGTTGATATGTCAGAGCCATTCAAGAGAAGAATACTGCCATTCAAACATGCTGCAGCAAAGATACATGTACATTACTGTTTCCAGGCAAATAGACATTGACTCACAGCATATTTCTCCATTTCCAGTATAGCCAGTGTGACACGTGCAAGAATAACTTCCTTCCGAGTCTATGCAGTCAGCATGCTCTGTGTCACATGTATCAGTTCCCAGTGTGCACTCATCAACATCTGTCAGCAGAAAACTAAATGAGCCAGGTGATTTATGTATGAAAAGCATACTTTCACAGTCCAATCCATCTCCCGTGTACCCACTCTTACAAGTACAGGTGAAACCGTCTTCAACATTGACACAGTATGCAAGAGTGTGGCAGTTGTGAAGCTCCAAATCACATTCATCAACATCTATCATAAAGAATTGCTTTTGAAGACAATTTTCAAAGTGTGCCGAAATGGCTCACCAGAGGGATAGTAGCAATTGATATCAGCAGAGGAGTTGTAACAGCATCCCATAGCTTCACATGTTTTCTCGCTGGACACATTACTCCCACACTCGTGAATACGATCGACAGGGACGAAACAGGTTTGATCTGCGGGAGTGTTCTCGTAATCTATGCATGCCATAATTTTGATGTTGACTGTGAACTACACTCACGTATACATAATGATCCATTTCCCACGTATCCAGTGTTGCACTGACAGGAGAAGCTCCCATTATTGTTGGTACAAGTTGCATTCTCATCACAAGGATGGGTAAGACACTCATCAATGTCCTGACATGTATATCCATCACCAGTGTAGCCAGAGAAGCAGGTACACTCATAGCTGCCTGCTGTGTCATAACACTCTGCATTCTCATCACAAACACTTGCATTGAAACACTCATTGATATCTGTTAAGAGAAATAATAATATCCGTACGTACTGCTAGTTCTTTCTGGCTCCAGTATATAGCAAATATAACTTTTTTATGAACCACAAACAGTACTTACCTGAGCATGAGAAATCCATCTCCTGAGTAACCAACATTACATTTACAATCATAGCCACCCTCTGTATCGCTGCAGGTAGCATTACTATCACACATATCTGTGTCTACATCACACTCATTGATATCTGGGTAAAGAGAAGGGTGATCATAGTTCTGGAGAAACACAACAATGCATCAGCCATACTGGTGCAATTAAATCCACTCCCAGAGAATCCAGTGTTACATTCACAGATGTAGCCACCAGCAGTATTGGAGCATGTGGCATTAGAGTCACAAGGATATCTTTGGCATTCATCTATGTCTAGAGAGCAAAATTTAATAACCTAAACAGGTGCAAACTTAAATGTTCACAAGAGCATACCAGTGCACATGTATCCCATCCCTTCATCTTGATATCCACTGAAGCATGAACACTGGTAGCTACCAACAGTGTTAGTACAAGTGCTATTCACAGAGCAGTTGTTTTGATTGTCTGAACACTCATTAATATCTAAAAAGGCGTAGCATACATAATTTTAGACCCACAAGAGAAACATAACCTACCATCACAAAAGGTTCCATTTCCTGAAAATCCAGTGTTGCACTGACAGGAGAAGCTCCCATTATTGTTGGAACAAGGCGCATTCTCATCACAAGGATCAGCGAGACACTCATCAATGTCCTGACATGTATATCCCATCACCAGTGTAGCCAGAGAAGCAGGTACACTCATAGCTGCCTGCTGTGTCATAACACTCTGCATTCTCATCGCAAACACTTCCGTTGAAACACTCATTGATATCTGTTAAGAGGAATATAAATATTCGTACGTACTACTAGTTCTTTCTGGCTCCAGTAGTTAAATAGGTACTTTATGAACCACAAACCACACTTACTTGAGCATGAGAATCCATCTCCTGAGTAACCAACATTACATTTACAATCATAGCCACCCTCTGTATCGCTGCAGGTAGCATTACTATCACACATATCTGTGTCTACATCACACTCATTGATATCTGGGTAAAGAGAAGGGTGATCATAGTTCTGGAGAAACACAACAATGCATCAGCCATACTGGTGCATCTAAATCCATTCCCAGAGAATCCAGTGTTACATTCACAGATGTAGCCACCAGCAGTATTGGAGCATGTGGCTTTAGAGGCACAAGGGTATCTTTGGCATTCATCTATGTCTAGAGAGCAAAATTTAATAACCTAAACAGGTGCAAATTTAAATGTTCACAAGAGCATACCAGTGCACATGTATCCCATCCCTTCATCTTGATATCCACTGAAGCATGAACACTGGTAGCTACCAACAGTGTTAGTACAAGTGCTATTCACAGAGCAGTTGTTTTGATTGTCTGAACACTCATTAATATCTAAAAAGGCGTAGCATACATAATTTTAGACCCACAAGAGAAACATAACCTACCATCACAAAAGGTTCCATTTCCTGAAAATCCAGTGTTGCACTGACAGGTGAAGCTCCCATTATTGTTGGAACAAGGCGCATTCTCATCACAAGGATCAGCGAGACACTCATCAATGTCCTGACATGTATATCCATCACCAGTGTATGCCAGAGAAGCAGGTACACTCATAGCTGCCTGCTGTGTCATAACACTCTGCATTCTCATCACAAACACTTCCATTTGAACACTCATCGATATCTGTTAAGAGGAATAATAATATCCGTACGTACTACTAGTCTTTTCTGGCTCCAGTAGCTAAACAGAAATTTTATGAATCACAAACAATACTTACTTGAGCAAGAGAATCCGCCTCCTGAGTAACCAATATTACATTCACACTCATAGCCACCCTCTGTATCGCTGCAGGTAGCATTACCATCACATGTATCTGTGTCTTCAACACACTCATTGATATCTGAGTAAAGAGAAGGGTGATCATAGTTCTGGTGAAATACAACAGTGTATCAGTCATACTGTGCAATAAATCCACTCCCAGAGAATCCAGTGTTACATTCACAGATGTAGCTACCAGCAGTATTGGAGCATGTGGCATTAGATCACAAGGATCGTTCAAGCACTCATCAATTCTAAAAGAAAGATGAGAGAAGATTAAAAAAACACACAAATATTCCATTTACCAGTGCACACATATCCCATTCCTTTGTCTCGATATCCACTGAAACAGGAACAACTGGTAGCTACCAATGTGTTAGTACACCGTGCTGTTCTCTGAACACTGGTTTCACTCCTTCCTGAACACTCATCAATATCTATAGCCAATCATGTGAAGTTGGTTATAATTCTGGAGAAGATGTTCATTACCCGAGCATTTATGCCGACGTCCATGAGTGGTTCAGTGGTGAAGACCAATAGTCCGTCCCATTGCACAATGTAACAGAGACTTATCACTCTCGGAGCATTGTAGCTGATCTAGGAATATGGGACCTGATCCTTCCTCAAAACCTGACGTCAAGATCTCTGGGGCTGCAGATCCCTCCTCAAAACCTGACGTCAAGATCTCTGGGGCTGCAGGACCAGTAGTCAATCAGATGCAAAAGAGGCACTACTGTTCAATATAAATCATAACTTATGCAGAAAATATACTTGAATGAGACTAGACAATGTTTCTCAAACATCATATCCCTACAATATTGCTATATTTAGCATAATTATATATTGCTAGCTCCATGACTTACAAGTTCCATTGAATCCTTCTAACATTTGGCATGCCACGGAAGCGTCATTGGTGTCGAACTGATCACTGCACACAGTACCCCAGGCACCGTTTACACACACCTCCAGTCTTCCCTCGTCACCATTTGCACTCCCCACTAGCCTCACGTCACCAGTTGTGCAGTTTGAGGCCACCACATCAACTATAGTAGTGAATTGTTGCAATGATTGATAATCTATTGGGCCGCTGGTCTGCAAAGTACCTTGACAAACAACCCCGGCGGGATCGCAAGTTATTCCTTGGAGATTTTTCATGTGGTCACACTCGATTACTCCCTTCTCTGTTCCAGAACAGTTGACTAAGCTCATCAGACCTGGACTTATTCCCTCGCTAAAGTAATCAGGTGCACTAACATTAATAGAACCTGCAACACATGGCATATTAACTCTAAACTTTGTTCTACGCAGTCAAAATAGGCAAACCATGTGGGGAAAATCCAAGTTGTGAGCAGACAACAGAGGCATCCTCATAGTCCCAGTATTCGTCGCACACTGCTCCGTACTCTTCCTCCGATGCACACTTCAAACTCTGCCCCTTGTGAGCCTGCCTTTGTCATAGTATGAGTCGTCATAGTCATCACTATAGTCTCCATTATAGAAGCCCACAGCATATCTCCAACTATGAGTCTCACATTTCCATCTTCACAAGTAGCTATTGGGAATTGAATGCACTCGTCTTTAACATAATATTCTGAAAACGAGTTGTCACACCTTCACATCTGACTCCAGCATCTTCACCGTGGCTGCAGTCATGAGACCCTATATCATTATCATTCAAGCACTCCAACAGTGAAGACTCATCTCCACTACACATCAGGTCATCCAGTAGAATGGAGCCATTACCCTGCCAAACTCTCCATGACGAATGGGGATTGAATCTAGGGTTTGATAGCTTACTTTAAAACATGAACACCCAATCAAAAGCCAAATATTACAGCCTTAGATACATAATGTCTTTGATGTCGGCAGATCTTATAGTATTACACAGACTGACTCTGACCTCCAGACAAGTATCCCAGTTGTCTACAGACGACTCTGGCCTCAAGTTCATCCCAAAAGTCATCACAGACTGTTGCCATACTCCACATTGTAGCAAATCTCCACTCGCCCTTCATTGGAGCTTGAGCCATTGCCCAAACGAACAGCACCATCCACACAAGCTATGCAAATGAAACACTGTTATGTAAAAGGGACTGTATAAATCCCAACCAATCACATACCGCTCGCAGTGAGTGAAGTTGACCAGATCATATCCATTGAAGCAAGTGCAGGTGTAACTACCAACAGTGTTGACACAGAGTTGCTGACAACCTCCGTTGTTATTAGTACACTCATCAACATCTAAAAGGTTCATTTTCAGGTTGAGGAAGTTCCACAACTTGAGGCATATTTTTACTTACCATTACATGATCTTCCGTCACTGTCTAGCAGATACCCACTGTTGCAGGAACACTCGTAACCAGGGATAAGGTCAGTGCAATTTTTATCACAGCCTCCGTTTGCCAAAGAACACTGATTTGTATCTGCAGTAAGTAGCATCAAAGTGGTACATCGATGTAATGTTAGTATAGTGTTGGTGTATTCACTGCACATTATGATCACACACCATAGCATCTGATGCCAGCATCTCTGGAGTGATCACAGGATGAAAACCCTAGCTCCAGTTCCATTGGACAGTTCAAAAGTGCCTCTTCATCTCCGGCACACTCGATACCTTCCAGGTATATCATACCACTGCCCTCACCAAATTCAGCTCGAGGGAATGCACGGGAACCTGTAAATAAAAGACAAGCATGTGACTTATAATTATTGCCATCAGTTACATAAACAAAGACAGATGTAAAAATAATCCATCTCCATCACGCACATACCTTGCCCATCGTAGCCAAGTTGTCTGCAGGCAACATTAGCATCTCTGGCCCCATATCTGACATCACAGATGGTGCCCCACACACCATTCACACAGATCTCCAACCTCCCTTCACTGGATAGAGCCTCAGAATCATCACTTCGAGATGCAATCCGCAGTTCTCCGATGACTGCAGTTGTCATTCAATGTGTCGGCACCTTTACAAAACTAAAAGTAAAATTGTATCCAAACACATCAGCAAAAGCTCTAACCTTGACAGATAACTGCAGCACTGTGCTGTGAACATGTCCCAGAGTAAGACACAGAGCAGCTCAGTATCTCTGTCTCGATCCCAGAACACCCCGCACTGTATAGGACTGCTGACCCTACATCATCTCCAAATGCACCACTAGACACCGCAATAGCACCTGGTACGAGGTACAACACAACAGACATTAGAAAAACCAGAGTTGTAAATAAGTTATGAAGCTAACCATAACGAGAGAATCCAAGTTGATAACAGACTACAGAGGCATCTGTAATGCCCCAGTTGTCATCACAAACAGTTCCATAGTTTTCTCCGATACAAACCTCAACTCTACCCCTGGCTAATTCATCCTTGATGAAGTAATTCTCATCAATGTTTTCATTCTGATACACTGAGTCTAAAATATTTCCTTCAAGACTCAATCGGACGTCTCCTTCTTCACATACAGCTAAAATAAGTGGAACAGACCATTTTGTACACACGAAGTAAGAAGATGAACAGCTGCTATACCTTCACATCTAACCCCAGCATCTTCACTGTGGTCACAGTTGTGGGACCCAACCTCCTCACCGGCAGCACAGTCCAATAGTGAATTCTCATTGCCAGTACACATCAACTGGTCCAGCAAGATCAAATAGTTACTTCCTTCTCCAAATGCAGCACGGCCAATGGAAATAGAATCTAAGACATAAAAATGGACACAGAGAGTTTAAGAACACGGCAATTGAAGTAACTTGTCAACTTACTTCCGGATGATGTAAGTCCAAGTTGTCTGCACACCACTGCCGCCTCCAGTTCATCCCAGTAGTCATCACATACTGTTCCGTAGACATTGTTGAAACAGACCAGTACCGTTCCCTCAGTAAACTCGGTGGATATGTGAGATCCATTCAAGAGAAGAATACTGCCATTCAAACATGCTGCAACAAAGATACATGTACATTACAGTTTCCAGCCAAATATACATCGACTCACAGCATATTTCTCCATTTCCAGTGTAGCCAATGTGACACATGCAAGAATAACTTCCTTCCGAGTCTATGCAGTCAGCATGCTCTGTGTCACATGTATCAGTTCCCAGTGTGCACTCATCAACATCTGTCAGCAAAAAACTAAATGAGCCAGGTGATTTATGTATGAAAAGCATACTTTCACAGTCCAATCCATCTCCCGTGTACCCACTCTTACAAGTACAGGTGAAACCGTCTTCAACATTGGCACAGTAAGCATGAGTGTGGCAGTTGTCAAGCTCCAAATCACATTCATTAACATCTATCATAAAGAATGCTTTTGAAGACAACTTTCGAAGTGTGCTGAAATGGCTCACCAGAGGGATGGTAGCAATTTACATCAGCAGAGGAGTTGTAACAGCATCCCATAGCTTCACATGCTTTCTCACTGGACACATTACTCCCACACTCGTGAATACGATCCACAGGGACGAAACAGGTTTGATCTATAGGAATGTTCTCGTAATCTATGCATGCCATATGAAGTTGACTGTGAACTACACTCACGTATACACAATGATCCATTTCCCACGTATCCAGTGTTGCACTGACAGGAGAAGCTCCCATTATTGTTGGTACAAGTTGCATTCTCATCACAAGGATGGGTAAGACACTCATCAATGTCCTGACATGTATATCCATCACCAGTGTAGCCAGAGAAGCAGGTACACTCATAGCTGCCTGCTGTGTCATAACAATCTGCATTCTCATCACAGACTGCACTCCCAGTGGAACACTCATCAATGTCTGTTATAGAACGTAGAAATGAAATACTTTAAGTAGTTAGGTAGTTTGTTGCATTATAACCTGAACAAGAAAGACCATCTCCTGAGTAACCAATGTTACATTCACACTCATAGCTACCAACAGTATCAATGCAGGTAGCACTGCTATCACAGGTGTTGTTTCCTGTTTCACACTCATTCACATCTGAAAGTTAAGAGCTCCATTGAAAATCAATAGAAATAGAGATTTCATAACGCACTGGTGCATTTTTTCCCACTACCGGAGAAGCCGATATTGCATTTACAGGTGTAGCTACCAGGTGTGTTGGTACATGTGGCATTAGAGTCACACGGATGACTTAGGCATTCATCAATTTCTAAAGAAGAGAACAGTATGAACTATTATTGATCACTAACACTAGTCATTTTACCGGCACAGGTATACCCCATCCCTTCATCCCGATATCCACTGAAACAGAAACACAAGTAGCTACCAATAGTGTTGGTACAATTACTGTTGATGGAGCAGTTATTTTGTTCTTCAACACATTCATCAATATCTGCATAATTACAAACAAATCCCAGTCAATGAAATGCACAGTCAAATCACATCAATCATACCAAAACAGAAAGATCCATTTCCCGTAAAACCATTGTCACAATGACAAGAATAGCTTCCGTCAGTGTTGGTACAAGTTGCATTCTCATCACAAGGATCAGTAAGACACTCATCAATGTCCCGACATGTATATCCATCACCAGTGTAGCCAGAGAAGCAGGTACACTCATAGCTGCCTGCTGTGTCATAACAATCTGCATTCTCATCACACTCTGCTCTCCCAGTGGAACACTCATTGACATCTGTACAGACACATTTAGCATTTGACTGGGGCACAAGCGAGATTGAATTATCTTACTTTCACACGATAATCCATTTCCATAGAAGCCACTGTTACATACACATTCATAGCTTCCCGCAGTATTGTTGCAGGTAGCATCACCGTCACATGCATCAATGCCTAGGTTACACTCATTGGTATCTAGAGCAAATGATGAATATAAAGTTATTCACATTACTCATGCAAACACTCAAACATACCAGAGCAATTAAGTCCATTCCCAGAAAACCCATCAACACATTCACAGGTGTAACTCCCTGCACTGTTGTTGCACGTGGCATTAGGGTGGCATGGAGCGTCCAAACATTCATCAATATCTGTATTATGATGAATAGGTCGTGCAGAAACTTAAATCAAAGAACGTACCTGTACAGACATATCCCATGCCTTCATCGTAGTATCCACTGAAACATGAGCATTCGTAGCTACCAAAGGTGTTTGTGCAGTTACTATTCTCAGAGCAGTTGCTCTGTCTTGCAAAACACTCATCAATATCTGCATACAAGCATTACGCCCATGAAAGCATTCTCTGAAATAAGATCACAATCATCCCACCACTGCATGATGTTCCATTTCCTGAAAATCCAGTGTTGCACTGACAGGAGAAGCTCCCATTATTGTTGGCACAAGTTGCACTCTCATCACAAGGATGGGTAAGACACTCATCAATGTCCTGACATGTATATCCATCACCAGTGTAGCCAGAGAAGCAGGTACACTCATAGCTGCCTGCTGTGTCATAACACTCTGCATTCTCATCACAGACACTTCCATTGAAACACTCATTGATATCTAAAAACGTTAATGCACATTAATTGAAAGTATCAGTACCTAATACCTAAATAAACTCACTTGTGCATATGAATCCATCTCCAGAGTAGCCAGTGTTACACATGCACTCGTAGCTACCTTGAGTGTCACTACAGGTAGCATTGCCATCACAGATTTCAGTGACATTCTCACACTCATTGGTATCTGTCAAAGAAGTATCAGAAAATTTATGTACAATAGATGTGGGTCACTTCACGGTGGAGAAAGGAACAGATAAAGATGTTTGGGAAATTAGCTACATCAAACAACTAATGCAGGCTTACTGTCACATGTTACTCCGCTACCAGAAAATCCAGTGTAGCATTCACAACTATAACTACCAGCTGCATTGGTGCATGTAGCATTCCTGTCACATGGATCACTCAAACATTCATCAACATCTGAAGAAGAACACCCAACAATACCAACTTGAAAACACTTAAAAGCAAATTACCTGTACAATTGTATCCCATTCCTTCATCTTCATATCCATTGAAGCATGAACACTGGTAGCTTCCAGGAGTGTTTGTGCAGTTACTGCTTACCGAGCAATTGTTTTGTCCTTCAAAACACTCATCAATATCTGTAGAGAAATTACTTAAAATCACCATAGATGTCTTATCAGTATGATCGTACCGGAGCACAAGGTGCCATTTCCTGAAAATCCAGTGTTGCACTGACAGGAGAAGCTCCCATTATTGTTTGTACAAGTTGCATTCTCATCACAAGGATGGGTAAGACACTCATCAATGTCCTGACATGTATATCCATCACCAATGTAGCCAGAGAAGCAGGTACAGTCATAGCTGCCTGCTGTGTCATAACACTCTGCATTCTCATCGCACTCTGCACTCCCAGTGGAACACTCATTGATATCTGGAAACAATATTTTTGAACTCTCATTATACATGCTACTATATACTGTAGTTACTAAAATGGAGAAACATACCGTAACATGCAGTTCCATTTCCTGTGTAGCCACTGCTACAAGTACAGTTGTATCCATCATCAAGGTTGATGCATTGCGCATTAAGGTCGCAGTTGTCCAAACTCAGACTACATTCATCAACATCTTTTGATAAGAAAAAAATGACGATTCGTTATTTCCTCTAACTAAACTCTAACCAGATGGGTGGTAGCACTGTATTAGAGCAGAAGAGTTGTAGCAGCATCCCATGGCCTCACAGGTGATCTCACTAGACACAGCTCTCCCGCATTCATACAAATGATCCGGAGAGACAAAGCACGTGTGATCTGTAAAATGAACAGTGGTAAAGGTATAAATTACAGGAGTCATTGATAAAGTTTTACATTGCACACTTACGAGTGCAATATGTTCCATTTCCCACGTATCCAGTGTTGCACTGACAGGTGAAGCTCCCATTATTGTTGGTACAAGTTGCATTCTCGTCACAAGGATGGGTAAGACACTCATCAATGTCCAGACATGTATATCCATCACCAGTGTAGCCAGAGAAGCAGGTACACTCATAGCTGCCTGCTGTGTCAGAACAATCTGCATTTTGATCACAAACTGCACCTCCACTAGAACACTCATCGATATCTGTACGAAGGTATTCCAGCGACAGTTAGTAAATGACAAGGTAAAAACTTAGAGATACTTACTTGTGCATATGAATCCATCCCCAGAGTAGCCAGTGTTGCACAAACATTCATAGCTACCCTCCGTGTCGTTACAAGTTGCTTTACCATCACAGTTATGTGTTCCTTCACCACATTCATTGATATCTAAGCAATTACAAGAAAGTAAATCTAAACGGTACTGTTTGACACAAAAGATGGAAAATCTATGTTACAAATTTGGACACGATACGTTATGCAGCACTTTCCTCTTCTAAACTCACTTGTGCATGACAATCCATCTCCAGAGTAGCCAGTGTTACACATGCACTCATAGCTACCTTGAGTGTCACTACAGGTAGCATTGCTGTCACAGATTTCAGTGGCATTCTCACACTCATTGATATCTATATAGTCATTTACAGATAATCATACTTTTGTGAAGAGATACCCTTCAACGTACTTGTGCAGGTGAAACCACTCCCGGAGAATCCAGTGTTACATTCACAGATGTAGCTACCAGCAGTATTGGAGCATGTGGCATTAGAGTCACAAGGATCATTCAGGCATTCATCTATATCTAGAGAGGAAAAAGTTATAATCTAAACAGGTGAAAACTAAATGTTCACAAGAGCATACCAGTGCACACGTATCCCATCCCATCATCTTGATATCCACTGAAGCATGAACACTGGTAGCTACCAACAGTGTTAGTACACATGCTATTCATAGAGCAGTTGTTTTGATCGTCAGAACACTCATTAATGTCTAAAAAGGCGTAGCATTTATAATTTTAGACCCACAAGAGAAACATAAATCTACCATCACAAAAGGTTCCATTTCCTGAAAATCCAGTGTTGCACTGACAGGTGAAGCTCCCATTATTGTTGGAACAAGTCGCATTCTCATCACAAGGATGGGTCAAACACTCATCAATGTCCAGACATGTATATCCATCACCAGTGTAGCCAGAGAAGCAGGTACACTCATAGCTGCCTGCTGTGTCAGAACAATCTGCATTTTGATCACAAACTGCACCTCCACTAGAACACTCATCGATATCTGTACGAAGGTATTCCAGCGACAGTTAGTAAATGACAAGGTAAAAACTTAGAGATACTTACTTGTGCATATGAATCCATCCCCAGAGTAGCCAGTGTTGCACACACATTCATAGCTACCCTCCGTGTCGTTACAAGTTGCTTTACCATCACAGTTATGTGTTCCTTCACCACATTCATTGATATCTAAGCAATTACAGGATAGTAAATCTAAACGGTACTGTTTGACAAAAGATGGAAAATCTATGTTACAAAATTTGGACACGATACGTTACGCAGCACTTTCCTCAGCTAAACTCACTTGTGCATGACAATCCATCTCCAGAGTAGCCAGTGTTACACATGCACTCATAGCTACCTTGAGTGTCACTACAGGTAGCATTGCTGTCACAGATTTCAGTGGCATTCTCACACTCATTGATATCTAGTCGTTGACAGATAATCATACTTTTGTGAAGAGATGCCCTTGAACCTACTTGTACAGGTGAATCCACTCCCAGAGAATCCAGTGTTACATTCACAGATGTAGCTACCAGCAGTATTGGAGCATGTGGCGTTAGAGTCACAAGGATCATTCAGGCATTCATCTATGTCTAGAGAGGAAAAAGTTATAACCTAAACAGGTGCAAACTAAATGTTCACAAGAGCATACCAGTGCACACGTATCCCATCCCATCATCTTGATATCCACTGAAGCATGAACACTGGTAGCTACCAACAGTGTTAGTACACATGCTATTCACAGAGCAGTTGTTTTGATCGTCAGAACACTCATTAATGTCTAAAAAGGCGTAGCATGTATAATTTTAGACCAAAAAGAGAAACATAAATCTACCATCACAAAAGGTTCCATTTCCTGAAAATCCAGTATTGCACTGACAGGTGAAGCTCCCATTATTGTTGGAACAAGTCGCATTCTCATCACAAGGATCAGCGAGACACTCATCAATGTCCAGACATGTATATCCATCACCAGTGTAGCCAGAGAAGCAAGTACACTCATAGCTGCCTGCTGTGTCAGAACAATCTGCATTTTGATCACAAACTGCACCTCCACTAGAACACTCATCGATATCTGTACGAAGGTATTCCAGCGACAGTTAGTAAATGACAAGGTAAAAACTTAGAGATACTTACTTGTGCATGTAAATCCATCTCCAGAGTAGCCACTGTTGCACAAACATTCATAGCTACCCTCCGTGTCGTTACAAGTTGCATTACGATCACAGTTATGTGTTCCTTCACCACATTCATTGATATCTAAGCAATTACAAGAAAGTAAATCTAAACGGTACTGTTTGACACAAAAGATGGAAAATCTATGTTACAAAATTTGGACACGATACGTTACGCAGCACTTTCCTCTTCTAAACTCACTTGTGCATGACAATCCATCTCCAGAGTAGCCAGTGTTACACATGCACTCATAGCTACCTTGAGTGTCACTACAGGTAGCATTGCTGTCACAGATTTCAGTGGCATTCTCACACTCATTGATATCTAGTCGTTGACAGATAATCATACTTTTGTGAAGAGATACCCTTGAACCTACTTGTACAGGTGAATCCACTCCCAGAGAATCCAGTGTTACATTCACAGATGTAGCTACTAGCAGTATTGGAGCATGTGGCATTAGAGTCACAAGGATCACTCAGGCATTCATCTGTATCTGAAACACAAGCAATTATTAATCACGTGAAAAGCATATCAGTGCACACATATAAAGAGGTCTCCTGTGTGTAGTTGACTTGTTTGCTGTGCCTTTGCCTTTCTACATTGTAGTTTAAACATGCATTAGAGTGTTTTTTTTGGTTTAATTAACCCCGGTCTGCTCCTACGTACCGAGTGAGAGTATACATGCATTAGAGTTCGGCGTCTTTGGTGGTTTAATTAACCCCGGTCTTCTCCTACATACCGAGTGCCATAGCACAGTGGTTTCAGGTTTGCCTTTGTGTTGTGTTGTGCTGTGTTGTAGATTCAAGCCCCCCTACCAGCTGAGAGGTAGAGCGCTTGCCTAGACTGCAGAGTGTCGTGGTTAAAATCCCACCTAGGGCAGCTCTCCTTTTTTCCTTGGAAAAAAAGAACTGTCGTGGGTGTAGTTGACTTTTGACTCATTTGTTGTACCTTTGCCTTTCTACCTCGTAGTTTCCACACACATATTCTAATCACCTAATTTGGATACCCACTGAAGCATGAACACTGGTAACTTCCGGAAGTGTTTATGCAAGTGCTAAGTATTGACAGATCAGTTGCTCTTTTCTTCAAACCATCCATTGATGTCTACGTGAAGGACTATGTTGTGCATGTGAGGCCCACATATTTCACGCAACCTTTTCTGTTACTGGAACTATCTGATGCATGCCTTGAGTTTTCACTAACAAGGGCTATTGGTTAATCAGAGCGTCGGTAGACGCTCTATATAGGGATGACACGAGTGAAATCTCACGTGATCTACGTACAAAACGCCTCAAAACTCAGCGACAATGACTCACCATGGCTTCAAAATCACTAGCAATAGTCTAGAGGCCAATATACCTAGCTATACATATGCCCCAAGACTTCCTACGTGCCCTCAGTTCCCCACGAGAGAATTCGCACTTGCGCGATTTCGCGATTTTCGTGTCATCATAATCATCATAATCATCATAATAATATTCTTCTTCTTCTTCTTCTTCAGACCCGCTAGCTCCTTACCGGAAGCAGTTGAAGCGTTGATTTTTTCACAGAACGTCTCCAAATTTGCCGGAGGTGTGCACGCATATCAAGCGATCGCTTGTTTCTTGCCGCAAGTCACTACGGTAGATCGTTGAGCTCTTCCACAGTAGTCGCTGGACAACGCCATTTGCTGCATCAGTGAGCCGCATGCGCCGAGGAGGGCGTTTCCCCAATGCGGTGCGCGCGCATTACTCGTGCGTGAACCAGGTCTACGAGACTAAGCCAGGATGCCTGCAGAGGAACTCTTATCCTCCAGTGCCTTCTGTAAGTCAATATACACATTTTTAACTGGCTAGCTTGCGTTTTGCTGTTGATTTGTACGAGGAGCAACTTGGCAGTGTGCGCCGTGTTACGCGGGCCTTGCCCAGCGCCTTCATTGTTTGTCCCCCAGGTTATAGCTATCATTGTAGTCTGATTACTGAAGCCTGCCTACGAAACCACCCCACCATATGTGCCACAACCTAATTGCATCGTTGTTGGAGACACTACGCATACACCCTGCTTCAGGTACATTAGCTTCTGCTTTCAACAGTTAGCTATCTCTACAACACCCATGAACATCAGAGTGACTGAAAATGCAGAAGGCATGAAAAATAGTGGAAACAAGTGGAAAAATCATTTCTTCAAAATGAAGGGGTGATATAGGGATGGCTTGAAGCACCAAAAAGGAAGAAACAAGGGGTCATTACACAGCAAAGATGCACCAAGCTACATGACACCATCCCTATATCTTTGTGTTATATATAGTTCTCAAGTAAAGTTTACTATGAGACAAAGATATAGGGATGGTGTCATGTAGCTTGGTGCATCTTTGCTGTGTAATGACCCCTTGTTTCTTCCTTTTTGGTGCTTCAAGCCATCCCTATATCACCCCTTCATTTTGAAGAAATGATTTTTCCACTTGTATTATATCTATTCCACACACAACTTCCTATGCCTAGTCATGCAATTCATTGAAAATGAGCAATAAAAGGTAGGTTTACAGATAATCACATTCACAGATTGGGACCAGCCCAGTGGAGGAAACTGCAGCTATGCAGGCCTTTTTGGACTGCCACACATTATTATACTAACTCAAGAGTATGCGTTTTCATGGACATGGCCAAAGCACCACCCCCTAGCACCATCAAAACAGCTGATGAGTGAACCATTATGAATCAATATTGACTCAATGGTGGATTAAATGACCATTATTCAATGAGGCCCGGTCACTATAAGAGGCATGTCACAGAAAACCTTTTGTTGATACTATTTTACTCATTTTTATCCAAGTAAAAATGCACTCACTGCTACACTTATCAGTTGGTGTTATGTAATAACAAGTTGTTAGGTACAAACAAAGACGCAGTAGTTTACATTCTAGGCCTGGGAGCTCACGTACACTTTTGTTGCTCCAATAATAGGTGGGTATGACCCCTCAAATATGCCAAATATTTTATGAATATGTATAGTGGATGGACTCAGTTTAAAGTCAGCACAACATGAAGTAGACTGAGCTTATTATTGGTGCATAGCATACAGCTTGTACTAATGTGAGTGAAAAACGACCATCTAGATGTCTGATTTTAGAATAGGCTGCACCATCACCAACGTAATCCTAATGCTAATATAATCTTAGAAATATTGCAATCGCATTCGCCCAAAATTGCTTATTGCACTTTCACTCTAGAGTCTGATGCCTACCAAGACAGCTGAGTCCATTGCCTGAGAAACCATCATTACAAGAGCAGAAGAAACCTCCGACTTCATTAGAGCAAGTAGCATTATCTGAACATGGAGCACCACCTCCTTGGCTACATTCATCAACATCTGTCACGATAGAAAGCTCACTTTGAACAACATTTTGTGAATGGATTAGTAATAGATACCTGCAGATTGAATGGGAGACGAGTCAACTCTGAAAATCCACAGTCCTTGCTGGGCCACATTACTTAGTCTTTCAAGTGCAAGGGCATGCTCGCTGGTAGTGCCAGTCTCAGATGATAGGATATACGCCGTCCCTTTTGCTGCAAGTGAAGATTACTGTGTAAGACACTGGGCTATCAGGGTCCTAACACCAGCATTGCTGTGTAAGTCTGAGCAGCTACGATACCATGGCAAGCATGGCCAGAATACAGAGTAGTCTTATTATACAGGCCGTTGAATATTATGATCACATTAAATGAGGCCATATTCAATACGCTTGGTAAAAAGATCAACTGGAGTAGCTAGTGGCTAAAACCAAGTTCTTACTAAAGGAACATACCTGAATCCAAGTAGTAATGATTAAAGTCGAGAATATTGGTGTAATTTGTGCCTGGCAGGAGAGTGTAGGTTATAGTATGATCTGTGAACCCAACCTGTGTACAATTCCAGCTGTTACATGACTGCCATAATTGTCATAATTAGTTAGTAATTCAGTGAAATTTCACATGTTTATATTACATATCCACAACACAAGTCCATTGCAGGTGAAGTATTTCACAAAGCTCTTCGCATCATGACTCATTAATTTGGAATGACTTTCAAGGTAACCAGTGTAATAGTCCACCAACTGTTTAACAAACCGGTGGTAAGTTGGCATGAGTATCACTCCCATATATCCACTCAAGATTTTTGTAGAGAAAGTAGACATAGGAACTGGAGCCATCTGTAGCCAGCACTGCTTGAAACGTGTTAGTCTGCGAGGAAAAACACGTGAAAATGACAGGAAAGAATAGGTAAACCCTTAAAGTTGTAAGTTTATGACCTGATCGGTTCCATTCTGATAGTAGCCAACACCACTCCACGTGACAACAACCAACTCCCTTGGAGAGAATGAGTTTGTAAAATAGATCAGAACCAACAGCTCAAACTGCGAGAGAAAGTATGAGTTGTTTGTCTCCAGCCTGAAAACAAACAGTAACAACAGGTTCCATTACACATCTAAGTTGTTCTACTAATGTGCCAACCCTACTTGCAAAAATAATGCACATGGTAGACTTAATTTTTAATGTCCATGTTCTGTAATGCATAATAATGCATAATATTATACCCATAGTAGATTTGTCCAATTCCACTGGTATCAACATCAGACAAGTATACAGATATGACAGGGTCAGACTCTTTGCTTGCTGGACTTGAACCAGTTGTTTGTAGAGAAATATATCCATCACTGTGAACCTGAAAGTGGCAAAGGAATTGTGGCACAATCAAATTGTCATGCAATACTAAGTGAATGATTTGTTTGTGACATTTGACTATTGAATTGTGGTTTAATTTTATAACTCCAGGGAGTAAGAATGGATGGCAAGGGATTAAACTAATTAGACTGGTTTTTTCCTTTGGTAGAACAATTGGCATCTGAGAAACTGTTTGAACAGTAAGGAGTTAGATATGTACATTGTGGAGGAGGCAAGTATAAGGTAAATTCGATGCGGTGAATGACTCTTAGGATATGCTTTGCGCTCTTACTAAAGTTTAGTGCAAATAGTTGTTGTCTCTCCCCTTTATTGTGTAGCCAGTATCCATTTTCAAGTTGTGACTCACTGTTAGTGCAGAATAGTTCTGCTCCAGGAAGACGAACGGCTTGGTCAGAGGGATCTGAGCCGCTTCTTCATTCCCTACTGGGAGCTGCTGGTGAGTGTCGTACGGAAGGAGATCCGCCGCTCTCGTGACGAGCACGGCCGACTCTAGAACCAAGCACCACGCCAGCCAGTAACACATCGCGCAGGTCCAGGATCTCTTTACACGGGAGTCGTTGCGGTCCGTCATAAGTGAAGGTCATTTACCACCACCCGTCATGAATTTGCAGGCATACTTGCGAATATATAGGCTATTTCGTGCCTGCATTCAGGCAAAACGCATGCGCAGAAACGCTCGCAATCTCGCGGGGCCAGACGTTCCATTCCCCCGTCGTAAATCTGGCCCCGCGTGAATAGCCCTCGGTGCGCGTTAAATGCGCACGTTTTCTGCGCTTGCGGACGCTTTTTAGGTTTGCACACGTTGTTATATAGCCGCAAGCAACTAACTACCGACGTGAGAGAGGGACCTATCTGGTGCGCGTACTACTATGTTTTGTACCAACTATAGCTATATCTGCTGTACCCAAGTGAGCGCTGTGAATGCGAGTATTGTACATTAGCTCAGCTAGCCTACCTGCACTGCCATAACTACCGCAACAAGGACTTGATACATGGAAAAGGGAGCTAGTCAGTGCATTAGCGTTAAATGCGGCAGCAAAGAAGCAGAGTTCTATCCCCAAAAATGTAGAAAGTCTGGGAAAACCATATCATCAAGTATAATGGTCGGTGGCTAAACCCATTAGAATTTGAAAGCCTAGCAGGCTACATGGTAGAAAATGGAGAGAGAATAACAAGTATGAAGGAAAACCTATTGGTAAATGGCTTACTGAGCAAGATTGTGACCCTAGTTCTCAAAGAGGTCTGATCGACCCTGATATCCCACCATCCTCAACAGCATCACAAGGTGCAAACACACAGACAGGCTGTCGCCTGTTGACGTGGGTATAGACAAAAGTCCTACACTTCATACAAGTGTGGCTGTGTCAGGTACAAACCATAGATA